ACTATTTACTACAGTATCCAATGATTTTTTTAAAAAAATTAGCTTCTCTCATTTGAAATCAACTCTTTACTTCCTCTTGGAAGTGAGAATCACCTAGCCAGGGGGAGACAATGTGGATGAAGATTGGGGACAAGTGTAGAATGTTTATTTGTTGTCCCTACTCCCCCACCGTTACTCACAAATAAGCACACAAATATAACCTACCCTCAATGTAAAGTTGAAAAGTACAGAAAGATGGAAAATATTTTAGTGCTGAATCCCTGGGTTTGGGATTCAGAAGCCGCAGATCGGCTACTTTAAAGGAAACTGGAATGGGGAATAGCCTTCAGGTAAAAAATTAGCCCCATTCCCAGCCAAACCCCAGGGACCCTATCTTCCTCTTTAGAGATTGTTCAGTTTCTGCCTCCCCAAGACCACCATGTGCCTTGCCCCAGCACTGTCAGAGCATGCAACTTCCAGCCACAGATGTGCTGAGTGGTGACCCGGGGGCAGGGCCTCTGTCCCATGCTGATCCTCTGCAGTGTTCTAGTTTTCTTGGCATCCACGAAGTTCTGCCAGTTTAACAACTTGGACAGGGCCAGATGATGGCTCACTCAAAGCTACCTTTTTATGCTTTTCTGCTATGACTGGTACCACCCTGGGTTGCACTCAGGTAGCTGCAACCCTCTGTCTCTGTCTCAGATCTGTTTCACAATTTGCAAGTGCCTCCTTATGTTGCATCTCTGTTCTGGGACAGAGCTCACCTGCTCTATTTCCCTCTACTGCTCAGAAAACATTAATGAATACCATCTTCCCTGATATTCCTTTAAACTCTACGTACTGGCCACAGGTCGAAGTCTGGGTTTCCTTATTTGTGGTCTGGCACTTTCCAGATCATTCTTGTCCCATTTCAGAGTCTTGACTACCATCATCCCCAAGCTTCCCTGCCCAACTGCAGCTTCAGGAGCTGCTGTCAGAAAGGGCAATGCAGTCTATTCAGGGGACCAGCTTAGACTTGCCCCTCCCCTTCTCCTCCTCTTCTCCCAGCAAGCTGGCAATCTATAAAAGCCAGGAACTGGACAATTCTATCCAGTTCACACACACGCCAGGATTCAAGGAGCCGAGTGATCCAAAAGAACTTTGTGTCATACCCAGGAAGAATCTCGGGTGAGACTGTTGGTGTGTGTTGGTCCAGGCAGGCCTCCCAATTTTTCTTTGGAATCTATCACTATACTAAGAAATAGTTAATGATGGCCACAACTTATTTCTTGCCCTTAAACCTTATAGGAATCTTTCTTATTGAGTGTCCATTTTAAAGAGAGGTTAAGTAACTTGTTCAAGGCCTCAATGTTCAAACATGTGGAAGAAGTGTGGCTATTGTTATTTAAACCCATACTGTTCCATCTCTAAGTTCTAGCCTCTTTGCTGCACCCCATGCTGCTGTCAGAGGCACCCCCCACCCCTCCACTCCCATCTGTTAATCTGTGATCTTCATTTAGGAACAGATGTTATCTCACCTCCTCTTCTGGTTGCTACAAGAGCACACTCCCATGCCTACTGCTCCTATTCTTCATGGATAAAGTCCATGCTTGACTGTCTCTAGTGACTTCAGAAACCAAAGCTTGGGGTTTTGCACTCACCTTGCTCTGCTCTGATAAATATGGTAACTAACGTCACAGGGGAGAACAGCTTCCAGGCAGCTCTACACCCCATATTCATCTGATAGTGGGATAGTCCAGGGAAAGTTACTTCCAGAGTTCCCTTTGGTGGTGGTGGTGTGGTAATGGTGGGTTTGGGGCTGCCCCAGCTTCATGTTTCTTGGGTGTGGGTGTCACTACTCCCAGTCCGTCTTTGCTGCCCAGGCCCATGGACACAACTCAATTTGCAGCAAAGTACCAACAACTAGCCAATGTCTTCCCTGAGGGTTCCCTCCCGCGGGACTTGGAAGCAAAAGAAGGCCACTACCACCGAGTTCTCCTTTATAGGCATTATGGTGGGAACTCAGTCTAAAGACYTGGTGAGCACTGAAATTCCACAGAGGAGTGGGGCGGGCTGCGGGCTGTCAAGGGGAGTCTGGGGTTGCTGCAAACGGAGCCGAGAGCGCGAGGAGGCCAGCTTGGCTGCTATCCCGGCTCATAGAGGCACCGCCGCCAGCGGCGCGTGAACATCTCTCAGGAACATCGATCTATCACCTCCCTTTAGGGACCCAGACCGGGAAATTTCCATTTTCTGTTTTGGGAATTAGAAATAAAAAGAGATCGAGCTCTTGCTCTAATGTCCTCCCTCCTTTCTACCAAATGCCGGACTGGCGGGGCTCAGAAGACCAGGGTCGCGCTCTGGGGCGCCAGAGTAGGGTGAACCTTTGGCGCGCTGGGCTCCCTGCGGCCAGTGGCCCCTGCCTGCGATCCCCGCAGGGTTTTGCAGCCGCGTCGCTCTCGGGAGGCAAACTTTGGCACCGGAAAAGAGCTTCCCGGYTCTGTGAGCAGCGGCAGCGGGGGTGACCTCTTTCCCATTCGAGCACACCCGGAAGAAGGTTTCGGACCCTCTGACTGCCAGTCGCCCCCAGGCAACAGAGGGCGGTGCCAGGCCAGGCCGTGACCCTGGGGGCGGGGTGGGAGCCCCAAGACACTTTGCACGGACGTTTCTTGCAAAAGTAGCAGGAAATCCCTTCTCCAGAGCGAGGGACAATGAGCAAGGACTCAAGGGAATTCAAGTGGAAAAATACATGAATGCAAGAASGAGCTACAGCTGGCGCAGAGAGGTTTACACTGAGCTGTGTGCTGCTTTTTCCTTCCGGGGAAAAGGCATTATTTATTTTTTTCAACAAATGTTTGGGGAAACTTTCATTCTAGATGGGTTATTTAAGAAGTCTACTCGAATTGGACATTATTGGTGGTATTATATTCTGCAACAATCACCAGACTGTCCAAAGAATGTACACTTTTTGCCCTTTTCCAAAATTATTTAGGAGGATAGAGCGATTTATTTTTGAACTAAAAATTAGTTCACTTAAAAATTCTGCAAGACTTGATAGGTTGTCAATTAAACTTCTTTTTCTTAAGTATTTTTAAAAGAATAACATCATATGAAACTTGGCTTCCTTTAATAGACAGATGCTTGGGCGTTCATCCTAATCATTATACACACCAATGAACAATTATTAAAGTCATTTCAAGCAATTTGCAGTTAGGTTGAAGAGAATTTATGGGCAAAAACCCAAAAAAACACTTTTACTTTTTTTCAGAGTTACCTTATAAATTTTTCTTCACCCCGTTTTGTGACTTGGTAGTCACCAGAAAAATGTGGGCAGTTCCTTGACCTACCTTGGATTGCAATTGACCTTTGCTAGGAAAACAGGTGGAAGGCTGGAATGGAGTTTTTAGAAATCCTGTGTTGAAAAATAAAGGAGCAAAGATGATCACAATCTGGACAGAACTTCCAAAGTCTTAACAGCCTAGGGAAGTTAGAAGAAAGACCCCGTGAGCCCCAAACACTTTCCTATGTACCATCTACCCCCCACCCCCACTTTTTAAAGAGCTTTAAGAATATATCTATCTATCTATATCTATATCTATATATATGTGTGTGTGTATATATGTATGTATGTGTGTGTATATATATATATACATATGCTGTGATATATATATATATATATCACAGCATCTTTATTTTTATGTGGTGCTGAGGATCAAAACCAGTGCCACACATGTGTGAGGCAAGCGCTCTGCCTCTGAGCCACAACCCCAGTCCTCCTCTTTTATTTTTGAATCTTATCAACTGGATCATTGCTTTGAGTACTTTATTAAAAAAAAAATTCCAGTAGAGTCGGGGGAGTGGTGTCAGCAGTTATTGCTCACACTTTAGGAGCAATAAATTGAGATGAGCAATATCAAGAAAATGCACGTTTTATTTAAACAAAAAGAAGGGTAACTGGGGTGTAGCTCAGTGGTACAGTGTACTCTGAGTGTGCTGGAGGACTTGGGTTCCATCTCCAACACATAGGTAATTTCCAGGCCTAGAACAATTTGAGCTCAGAGAAGAAAGCCTGAAGAGAGGACCACAAAGGAGTTGAGGGTAGTATGACTTGATACTTGAAGAYTTGAAGTAAAGGGTCTCCAGGTAAAGATGGAGGGAGGGCATTCCAAGACAAACTGCCTTTTGAAAACATTGCCTTGGTAAAGTTAGTCTCTCACTAAGCCAAGGGGAAGACACTGCCTTCCTGCATGTTTATCTCACCCCTAGGAATTAACAGTTGAGCTCAACCAATACTATATAGTAACCTTCAACAGATTTTTTGTGAACTAGTTTAGCTACATAATCACCATTTATAACACTTCAGAGAATACATTTGGAGGTTCAAGTTAATTAATTTCTAAAGTTTTAAAACATAACTTTGCATGGGATCAGGGCTATTTCCACTCATTTTGTGTTAACTGACTTCACTGAAAAATTACTTATAAGCTGGGCTAGTGGCACCCAGCTGTAATACCAGCCACTCAGGAGGCTATTGCGGGAGAATCCCAAGTGTGAGGCTAGCCTGGGTAACTTAGCAAGACCCTCTCAAAAAAAAAAAAATAATAATAATTAAAAGGGCTGTTTTTTTAGCTTAGTAGTAGAGCTGGGTTGTTACTAGTATTACAAAAAACAATTTCTTACAAATATAGCTGGGGGGAGATATGTTCCTATAGTCTTGGCTACTTAGGAGGCTAAGGCAGGAGGATTACTTGAACCCAGTAGTTAGAGGTAAGCTTGGACAATGCTTTAATACTCATTCTCAAAAAATTACTYATGAATGAATGCAGCAGCACAATATTCTAGTATATTTTAGGCAAAATTACAAAAATAAAAATTCACATAAAATTAGCAAGCATACTACTACTACCTTTCCAATTCCTCACAAGAAATTATTATGAGAGAATTATCACTAAGAGTGCCAATTGCTAGTGAACATTACAAGCATTACTAATTATTAGTTAACATTAATTACTAATATATACTATTTGAATATGTAGTGTCTCCTTTGCTATGGCTATAAACTGTCATAATAATCATTTTATCAAATCTGTGCACCTACTAGGTACAAAATAAAGTGCTTATTTAATTGAAAACAAACAAAACGAAACAAATACCACAAAAACCAAAGATATAAAGCCAGAGATTTGGGAGGTTTGAAATACTGCAAACATATTTTACTGCATTTAATCTATACAAGTCTAATAAATACAGAAGTTGTTATGACCAAATGAATTTTTATTGCCTGCAAGCTGTTATATTTCGAAGTAGGGGAGTATGGTATGTTGATGGAAGCACACCTTGAAATTTCTTACACTTGAAAGAAATTGTTCAGAATGGAACAAGACACAAGCCATTGTGTATAATCTAGTCTATGTTTGGAGCTGGCAGTCCTTTAAGCCCAGGACAACACTTGCAGACCAATTTAGAGTAATGAAAACCAAGGTCAAAGCTTTTATACACACCACAACACTGGTAAATTAACTACAAAACAATCTTTGTGCATAAATTATAAATTGTAAGGTATACATCATTTTAACAAAGGTACAATAGGGTTGGTGCAGTGATCAGAAGTAGCTTCTCACAATGTTGTATCATGGGAAATACATATCTCTTTACACACAGGAGATTACTTTGATGGGAAAAAAAAAGAGGTCGAATTTGCTAATTAAAAAAAAAAAAGTTCATGTTCCAATCACAAACAAATAATTCTAGGTCAAGCTATACCACCACGAAGGATCTTCTTCAAAAATATACTTGGCATTTTCCCCTTTAACTCAACCTCCAGGTTTACTTCTTACAGACATACAAGAAGTTTTATTTGGTCAAGACATTAAATGTAATTACAAGGACAAGTTTAAAAAAAAAAGCACTAACAAACAAACAAACAAACAAACAAAAAAGCCCCAGAACAAAAACCGAGTAGTCCAGGTCTTCCTTTCTCCAGAGCTGTGTGTCTTCAGCCCTCTTCTTCTTCATCACTGTCTTTCATGGTAATGCCCTGAAGTCCTCCACCTTCTGAAACAGAGGCGGTGGCCTCCTCAACTGTTAGCCTTCTGTGCAGGGTCTCATATGTCTTACTGTTCAGTGTTCCTTCCAACACACCCTGTAGTCGGAAGTCCCTGTAAGTTTTCTGGAGGAAGAAGAGAGAATTTTCTTAGATAAGTTACATTTACACATTTGTATGTATGTCTGTATGTATAGGTATATACACTCAGGTGGCATTTCAAAAATCATGTTGGAAAATCCACTAGTGAATTCAGATTGTAACTGCCTGTTGTCAGTCATCTTGTTGGTGTATTTCTGGGAAGAAAGATGGAATGAGTGATTCTGAATAGTGCTACCCAAACTACAATCACTATGAATAGTTCAAAATGTTGTGATTATCAAATGACAGATTAGAACTCTTCCCCAAAATGTTCCTAATGACTCAGAATTTACTATTTGAATAATCTATAAAAAAGATAAAATGGTACATACTTTTTTTTTTATAAAGATAATTTCTTGGTTTTTAAATTAAGAAGACTTTCCTTTAATACTGAAAGATACATTTCATTTTATAAGATGCATAAGTTTGGGAGGATAGGTGTATTATTAGTAAAAGAATTATAAAATTTTATTTATATATAGTATCTTTATACTTTATAAAAATTTGTGTTCACCTAAATGCTGTAAGAATTTTGTCCTTTCTCTTTGAAATAACCTTAGAATGAGAAGTGCTAACTTCTGGCAAAAAGTTGCCATAGATAGGATGTAAAACAAGTATTTACATTTTTGTAAGACAATAAATTATAATTTATAACTTATATGTTCTACATAAAATAGAACAGAAATTATGTTATTATTTCTATACTGATTCTTAAAACTCCTTCTGTGGCACTTAAAATATGTGACTTATAAAGCTCTCCTTATGGGCTAGGGATATAGCTCAGTGGGTGGAGTGCTTGTCTCACATGCATAAGACCCTGGGTTTTATCCCAGCACCACAAAAAATAAATAAATAAAAAAATAAAAATAAAAAAGCAAATTTCTCCTTTTTTTTTTTTTTTTTGGTGGTGCTGAGGATCAAACCCAGGGCCTTGTATATGAAAGGCAAACACTCTACCAGCTGAGCTATATTCCTAGTCCTTATGTTCACTTTTATTTTAAAAAACATTTTTTTAAGTTGTAGATGGACACAATGCCTTTATTTGTTTTTATTCGGTGCTGAGGATGGAACCCAGTGTCTCACACGTGGTAGGCAAGTGCTCTACCACTGAGCCACAACCCCAGCTCCTTTATGTTCACTTTTTATAAAGTATGATTATCTTCACATATTTTTCATGACTAAACAGGGTGGTATATTATCATTATTATTTTTTCTTGAATGTAGAAACAAAGAGAAAATGAAGATACTTCATCCAGTGGAGTCACTTCAAAGGCCATTTTGAATATTAAATATCCTTTATAATTCTTTTACTGTCCTGTGTGAGATTTTTAGTATTAAGTAGCCAGACTTGGACTGGTCAAAGTATCAGTATATATCAATATGTCATGTTCTGTTCTAAATGATTGCTGGTAGTCACTTTGTTTTTGGTCATTATTTATACTTAATAGATGAAAAAAGTTAAATAAGAAGGAGAGACACTGTCTTTCATGGTCACAAATCATAACTCCAGGAGCTGGAGTAAGAGAGATGCTTGATTTTACTTAACAGATATATTCAGAATACTTCCATCACGACATCCAGAAAATACCAGAACATTCAGACAGGTGAACTGATGGCACATTCACATGAGTTAGAAAGTGTATCTTAGGCTCCTCCATTAACACACCTGGCCTAAACAATTTAGACAAAATTTTTCTTAAAATTTCATAATTTTCTTAAGAGATCAATTCTATTTTCACTGAAATTTTTTTTGAAGACATACAATTCACCATCCTTCTCTTTCTCACCTGAATGATTTTATTGTGAGAAGGTTACAAATTTATTCTAAATCATAAGTTGTTATGAATAAAGTGGTATGATCTTATACTAAAACTCATGGTAACACTCATCAGGAGACAGCAAAGTAATTCTGAAATGCCAATTTTTGTCTAGAGAATCTGGTGACTTAATATACATGGCATGAGTACCCCAGAGATTTGTGTTCAAGTCTATCATTACTTTGTAGTCACACTAAAAGCACACTGAGCACATATCAGATGATGCATTTGACAACAATTACTATTACAATTACTATTGTCACACTGAGTGACAATTGTATATTGAGCTTTGGGGTCTAACTTTCTTACTTTACTGGAATAATTTTCCTTTAAGACTTAGCTTAATTATCAACAAATTGGCCAGGACATACTTGAATTGTGGCTTTCTCCTCCCGAGGGCTTTCTGATTTACATACAATTAAGGCCACTTCCTTATTCTATTAGCAAGTAATAAGCAGTTAGGAGAGGTACAAGGTAGACATCCTGCAATCTCTGTTTCTCTAGGACTCACAAAATGTTACAGCACTTGCACATCTACCCTGGCTGCTGTAATGGCCTTGGTGGCTCTTTTTTAAGACAAGTGCCTGCCTCAGTGTGCTGCTCACTTGTTTTCTTTTCTCTTAACAACAACAACAACAACAACAAAGGCAATGGATTTATGTTATCTACTTTTAAATACCCTTTGACTAGAAAGAACACAAATTCAACAGCCACTTTTATTATTTGGCAATTCTACTTTTTTCCTTCCCCAATAAATCATTTTGATGTCAAAACTTCAGAAGTAATTTCAGACTTTCGTGGAATCTTCCTGGGGTATATTTTGTTTCATTTTCTTAGCAATATGAGTGAACCACTATGTGTAAGTGTCTTTGTAGGGCAGAGTTGGCTATCATATAAGTTTTGATGATCTCTGGGTTTCTTTGGGCACAGAAGAATGGCAAGGCCTGTGAGGAGTAAGAGAGACTTCTAGTCAAAGGGCTTGACTCCTAGGTTAAATGCACAACTCTTCTGTAATAAGCAGGCCAAGTCCAAGTGACTTGGGTGGAAGCCCACTTAGAGGCCTTCACAATTCTATACAAGTGTTATTGAATAGCTTCATAAAAATTCACAGGAGAATGACCATTATAAACAAAACCATACAGGTTCTAAATAATAATGAAACTATGTATGAAATTGTTTATATTCAAAGTAAAGAAAAAATAATTAGGACACTAATTTATTAATTCACTTGACTGTAATTATGAATACAGTCATTTTTAATTATTAAAAAGAACTCTATGACTTGTTTAAATGTATTAGCCCAAGAAAGCAGTGGCTGAGCCTTGGGAATTGCTTATGAAAAGCAAAACATGGGAAGTCAAACATTATATATGAAATCTAATTTTATATTTATCAATTTTGACTATGGATTACCATTATGAAAAATATATTAAAATAAGATGAATTTAATGAACTAGTGCACAATAAAATATCACTGTATAATTTATAAAATTAATAATTGTCCTTTTCTGAAAAAATATTCACTGGTGAGAGTACTTAAAATCTACTCTTAGCAAATTTTATATATACAATATACTGTTATTAACTGTCGTCACATTGTACCCTTGAAAATAAATAATTTTTATTTGTCAATTATACCTCAGTAAAGCTGAAAATAATTTCACTGATGCTTGATGGTTACTTATTTAGACATGTAAATGTGAGAAAAGGATTAACTTTGAAGAAACGAATGATAGGCAAATAAAAAATGGAGATTTTAATTCTCAAAACAAAACAAAGATATTAACAATCTGCAAGCTAACACCAGTTGGCTGAATATATAACTTCTGACATCCTGAACACAGGAGACACTGATTTGAAAATATGGCTGCTGGCCAAGAAAACCAGCTAATCCTAGTATGAATCACAACATGAACAGATAGATATTTTTGTAAGGTAAATACATTATGGTGATTCTCTTTTATGTAAAACAAACTTCATGTAAAAGCTCTCCAAGTCATATTTACAGAAACAAGGAAGAAACAATGGAGAATTAAGCTGAATGTGAATGAATCAAAGTATTTATAGTTTTGTAAAAAAATAAATTATAACGCCTGGCAAGAGGTGTGTTGGATCAAATATATTTTGTCCATTGAATGTAGTGTGTAGGCAGAATATTAATATGCTGCGAGTGCCAGTTACTTTACTAATTATTTATGATTGATCACCATTAATATTATTGTAGTTTTTCAGGTTTGTTTCTACCTCTTTGTAGATTGGCCAGTTTGACTTTGGAACAGAATTTTCCTGTGTGTGATTCTTTCTAACCTGTGATAATCTATGTCTTCATGGCACAAAAATTTCATATTTGAATTAGATTGCAAAACCAACACAGTGACAGAAACCATTTAAATTTGGAAACTTTCAAAAAATAATGTAAAAGAGTGATTCTTCACAAACCTTAGCAATTATTAGACTCCTCTGAAGGGTTTGGTAATATATAGATTGCTAGGTTTACCCTCGGGTTTTGATTCCAAAGGTCTGTGGCAGGTCCCAAGAACTTGTAGTTCCAAGTTCCCAGGTGATGCTGCTAATGCTGTGTCAGGAATAACACTTTGAGAACCAGTGTGCATGGGTGTACATATACATACATATGCAAATGTTTACATTATGTGTATGAGCACCCACACCTGTGTACCATCAATATAAATAAAATGAAAGTAAAGACCTTCCATTTAAAGAAACATTTGGTCAGTAGCATAGAGTTACATTTTTAGCCATAAGTGGAGTTCTGTCTCAACTTTAAGAAAAGTTAAACTTGGGATGAATCTTTTGCTTTTACTAGAATTTAAAAATTGCAAAATATCATGTTGAAGAAATATTTTATAGCCTTTACTCACTTGATATAACACATAAGTTRTTACCTTTTCTCTTTAAGACAAGAGAAAATGCAAGGTTGAAATGGCCTGTTGAACTTACATGACATCTGCATTAGTAATTCTGGATGGTCTCCAACACTGAAACTGGTCACCTTTTCCGTCTAAGAAGGGACATGCTTACAAAAGAATTTAGGCAGTGACAATGTAATACTTTCATGCCAATATATAATAAAATAAACTAGATTCTCCTTATTCTATTGACAAATACAGTTCAAAGCTCTCATAATGATACATGATCCTAATGAATGAATTATGGAAGAACATTTTTATTCTTAAGAAACATGCTAGTGGATTTATGTGTATTATCTTAAAAGTGATTACTCACTAACTGATATTCTTTTATTAGTTCAAAAAAAGAGCGTTATTTGGTAATCTAGGTAAAGATGGAAATAAATGGCAGCACATCACTGTTAATGTTATGCTTTTTAAGTACTTACATTTACTCTGTTATATCAAACCTTAGTTTGGTATGACAATATCTGCATTATTCTTTATAGTTTCATGGGCAATTGACATCTACACACATTAACATTTACCTTCACAATCTTGATGAGCGTCTTCAGTTGGTAAATATGAAGCTGTAGGTCTAATCTATCAGCCAACCAGACGCAAATGACTTTCATGGAATTGCTGTACCATTGCTGGAAAGAAGGATGGGGGCAGAGGGGAGGAGAACAAAAAAGAAAACAACCTCTACAGTATTCATTTAACAGATTTGGTAATGAGGGGGTAATGAAACACTCTGAAATGACCACAGATCAGCACTTGAAGTCAATAATGCTATAATTTCCTGTTAACAGAATTGTATGTTTTGCTAGGAAATCTGCTAAGTTGACCTAGGCTGTGCTTTACATGAATTAACATTACAGTCTTTCAGCTGTAACATATTCATGGGAAACAGTGTTTTTGCACTTTGCAGCCTAGTGGCCTGCTTTGTAATTTGTGAGTAACAATGGGTACAAAATACATATTATGGAGCTGAATGGAGAGCCAAGCAGCAGAAAATAACTGGTAAATTATTTTCAAAAGGAAAATTTCCTATTAGCCTGCATGTTATGTAAAACTCAAATGGTAAATGTGCTCTGGCATAAGCCATGTTGTCAATACCTAGAAATAACATTTTGAATGATTGGTGGCAAAAAAAAAATACCCATCAAAAATAACATCAATCCTCGACCATACCTTTTACCTACTATCAGTTAGGTATTTGCCAAGATTTTTTGAGATAACAGAAAGGAACAGTAGCAAGATGGAACTCTTGTGTCTTATAAGAATTATAAAAAAGACATGATTGACCAGATTATGGAAGAATCTGTTTCATTTTGCAAGTGTTTTTAGGGGGTTYGGACTTTTTCTCTATTGACTACAACTCCCTTGAGGGGAAAACTGAAATTCTCCTCTAAATGTAATATCTTGCTTCTATTTAATGTATATGAGAAGAAAAAGAAATTTTGTTTCCTATTTTCAAAGAAAGTCCAGCATGGATGGTGACTATTTAAGGGAGTAAGTGACAAAGCTAGTTTAGATAATAATGCTACTCATTCAGGTAACAGAAATATCAATGTCCATTCAGCACTTTGCAAAAGACAAAAGAGTTTTTAAAAGAGAAGTGATTTTGTGCCTTGCTTGTATACACAAACAGAATGCCAGGACAGATCATGTGTGAGCAGATACATGGTTTTAGGTACTCGAACACAGGAAAAAGTCTTAAATATTTTTTTCTCCACAATAATAAAACAGTACATTTAACATCTAAGAGAAATATTAAGGGAGATATGCATGAAGTTCATCTAGACTTGTATTTATTAACACTGTTCTGATACATTTCAATATAATAGAAAATGGCATTTTATGCATAAATTAAAAATGATTTTGTTTTATATTTTACCATTGATTCCTACTAATTTGTTATTTTGCTGAACATATATGCATAAAATGAGGTAAGCAAATTAAAACGAGTAACTGACTTCCTAAATACTATCAATCAAGGGGATAACTAAAAATGTCAAAGTTTCTAAATTGTAGGATAGATTGTTTTTTTTTAAAAAATGTTATAAATACACCTAGTTTCATTCCTTCCTAATGGATACTTTATTTTTCAGGACATGTAAAAATATTAGAAAGAATTTTATGACATGAGATACCTATACTTCTAAATTCTTAAAAAATAAACTGCTAATAAATTTAGTACCATAGTGATATGGATCTCAAAATATTTTATAGGCACATACTCACTTTACTTTCTGATTTTATTTAGCTTCTATACTTCCTTATTGCAAATTATTTACAGTCTCAACTTCTTGAATTCTGTTTTATGAAGGTAAACACAGGTATGGACTGCAATATTGAATGAGTATGCCGAATTAAGATCCTTACCCCACACCACTCTCCAAATAATCTGAAAGCTAAAATGTTGTCAAAGTGGATTAGACTCTTAAAATTAGAGTCTTTTTGGAGTGGATAGTAAAATTTTTGATTTTATTGGAGGAGAGAAAATACTACATATTATATGAAATCTTGTAAAACCTATAAGTTTATCTGTCAAGATTGTGCAGCTACATGGTAAGCTGCATAAGTATGAGGGAAATGCAAACAGTTAAAATTACTCCATGTGCATCATTATATTCTTAAAAAAACTGTTTCCATAATTTAACTGCATTTCTCATTGTATGTAATGTTACTTATGATTACATAACAATTGAAAGGGCCTTTAATGTAACACAGAAAGTTATTAATAACCCTTCCTTAAAAATACGACACCAAAATATTAACTAATAGAAGGGATTTAGGAATAAAATGACCTACAGTTAACTATAAAGATAGTAAAAAGAGAACTCTTAGTGAAATGTTTAAGCATTCTCTTACTTGGAAGGCAATATATTATTCTACAAGGAAAAGTCTCTAAGAATAATTATCCTATCTGATGAGACTGTATATTTTTGGCTCCCAGGTCAGTCTCTTAAAGAAGAATTGCAGCTTAACTGAGCAGATGATTAAGGGAAAGCAGTAGTTTAGCTCAGAGCTTAATCTATGCTGCCACTGAGAATAGGCGACCAAGGACAAAATTGCCACTACATTGCTGCTTTCTTGTATATGGTGAAACTGGAGGCAACCTTCCACCCCACAAAGAAACAAAGCCACCAACATAGAAAGGTCCAGCATTTTCCTAATTCTGGTGCTGAAATTAATGTGTCCTTCTTTTGAGAGCTGAAAATATAGCTGGTCCCATTTTTTCATCTTGAGAAAAGAGTCAAAATTAGGTGAGCTTCATTTCTCTCCATAGAACCAAATCGAACCAACCTCTAGCATCAAACAAAGAAAAGAAAAAAAAAAAAAAACTTGAAAAGGGCGAATGTGTGGTAAAGTCCAAACATTAGGGAATGCCTTTTCATTTTGGAGAAGTTAATTTTATCAAATAACTTGGTTGACTATTCACTCTTCCCTTCAGGGGATGATAGGGAAGGGGCTCCACACCCACACTGAAGCCAAAGGCATGGCATTACTGTTTTATTCTTTGCTTTGGTCTACACAGGAATAAAGCAGTAACTGTATATTTTACATTTTTTTTCCTACATCAATCCATGACAGCAGCCTACCACTTTAACAAAAAATATGTTTTTTTTTTTTCTTTTTGTGGTTCATTCAACTCCTGTAAGGGCATGCATTACTCACTTCATTTTCTTGAGATATCTCTTTTAAAGCGAAAATAAAAGAAAAGGAAAGGCTAGGGTTGACTCTGTGAGACCCTTGTATTTATTCACACTTATTGTGCATGACTGTAGACTGGTAAATCATATTAGCAGCCCGTCTCCCCATCAAGCTGCTACTTGCTTTCCAGCCCTGGGAAGGTTCAACAAATCAACAGGAGCACGGAAAACAGAACATCAGTCTAATCTAGTGTTTAAGGTGAAGTTTTCAAACCCAATCTAAGAAGATCTTTAGAGCAAGCAACAAGCTGAAGGGCTCAGAAGGTGGTATTGACGATGAAAGAGTGTTGAAATATTGAGAAGCGCAGCACTTGTGCATTTTTAATAACAAGAGGGTCAACAAGGACACAGCTCCCTCAGTGCCAGGAGTTGCCACTGACTATGGAAATTGCCACACCAGGGCTATAAACGCTTGCAGTTCATCAGCTTTCTTAAACAGTTCATCAGCTTTCTTAAACACCCTGAACCCCCTCAGTGGACCTTTAGTCTTGAATTAACAAACCAAAGCAATGAAAGAGGGTGCAGTCTGAATGGCTGGCATTGATCCCCAACTGTGTCAGCACTGCTACAGGCCCTGAAAAACTCTCTCCATTGTCAATAGAAATTGACAAACCTCCTCTCCTAAATAGTGCAGCTGAGCCGGGCGGGATCCACGCAGCTTTAAAGGGCTCTGCTCTTGGGGCCCGGGAGCACTAACAATAGAACAAGCATGAGCTCTTTGTCAGTCCCAGACTCGGCAATTTTCTAACAAGGATTAAAGTTGTTTCTCCGCAGAGCTGGTGAAAAGAGATTTAGCAACATACCGTGCTTTCTTCATGCAAGTTAAAGAGAAGTAGTTAAGGAATTTCATTATTCTGTTGACCAGTGGAAATACAAAACAAATATATTAAATATGCACAACTCCCTTTTTGCCTGGTTTATAACATTTTGAGGATGATTCCATTAACTATAACACTTATCACCTGGGAACAAGCACTTCACATTTATTTTGGAAGTTTTATTTTTCAAAAATCCAGCTGCTTGCCACCTGGAATGAGGTCTCAATACATACTAATGCACAATGCCTTTAGACCCTCTGCGGCTGATATTCCTAAATCTGAATCACAAGACCCCATAGGGTTTATATATCACGGCTGCTTCAACCAAATGATTTCTGTCAGAATGCGGCTTCTGATGATGATGGAAAGGTAAAAATAGCTGCTTTGCTAGGGCACAAATCTGTGATATATTTTCTGCTTAAGTGTTTAGCTTTTTATTGATTATGAATTGGCACAACTAGTTTATTTATTTTCATTCTTCTCCAGCTATGCTTGTCTCAATAGGTGAACAACAGAAAAAAGAAAGAAAAAAGAACCGATACTTTTTACTGCAATAAAATGTGGAATGGCTAAATTTCCACAGTATGTCCACATATTATCTTCATTTATTTCCAGAGAAGCTATTTTATAAGAGTTCAGTCACTGTGTTGAAATGAAATAACATCTAGAAAATCTCACCTTAGGAAATATGTTATTTTTAAATGTAGAATTGAATTGAGTGAAAGAATGAACACTATTTTTTAACTGCTGCAGGCTTTGAGATGATTGAGAAATATAAGTCATCCTTTTGGATCATTTAGCTGCTTCAGAGATCAATAAAAATTTAGAAAAATTAATGCCTTATGGGTCTACCAGTGTATTAAAAAATATAAATGCATCATTATTCATCGAGTGTTCCTTTTGTCAACAATCTGCTTAATATGACTCTATTTGTGGTTCTTACTTCTGTCACTTCCCATTTCTTAATATTCAAGTGCAAATTTTATATTATTGGGAAATTTGATACAGTAATGGCATTATTCCCCACCTCCCGTCCCCAATCCAGGCATCCCACTGAAACTATCATAACTAGATACACAAAACAGATGCCCAAAGCATAAGCATTTTACAAGTTTT